CAATATATATATTTTATGTTTTTAGGACTTTTTTGTTTGTGAAGTATAAAATAGATAAATTAACCGCTGTTTTTTTTTTTAGATATGGTTCATATACGTAATACAGTAAAAGGAAACCCAAATAATTTCTTACGTTAGAAATGAGAACAAAATATATGAAGTATAAAATATATTTTCAAATACATCGCAAACCAATTTTATAAAAAGTATTTCACAAATATAAGTAACTAATAAAAAGTCCTTACATTGGAATTAATATTATACATAATAAAAAGTATTTCACGATTATAAGTAACTAAGAAAAAGTGCTTACATTGGAATTAATTATTATACATAATAAAAAGTATTACAATTTTACAATTATAAGTAACTAAGGGAAAGTATTTACATGACAAATTTCCAAGAAATTTATATAACAATAATACAATATACAATACAACAATATATAAAAACTACACAGAAATACAGTGTAGGAGCATTTACAATAGAGTGATAAATTCTCTTTATTTCATCAAATATCAAAACACAGTATTTGCTACTCTCATATATTTCTCATACTTATGAGAAATAGCTGAACCTAATGTATTAAAAAGACACTCATTAATACCACTATACAAAGGTAACTACTCTGAAAGCAACATCCTCAATGTTTGAGGAGATGGCAAAATAAATATTTGTCTCCAAAAATAGTAAGTCTTTGGGGACTTTTTATACAGAATTAAAGCAAGAATTTTGTCTTCGTCTGTGAATTTTCTTCCTTTCGGATGCTCTCTTAATTGAGACAATATAAAATTTCTTGCCCTAATATTTAATGTTTCTGGAATATTTGAAAACTTTTCAGAACATTGTATACTCTGTTGCAATTTATCCTTTAAATTATTACATTGTTTATTAATCCTTCTTACCTCCCGGAACAAAATTTTTGATGTATCATACATCTTCTGGGTGTCGAGGCACTCCTATACTGAAGCAATTTGCAGCTACCCCCGAAGACTCCTATTAAACATAATAGAATGTTATAATATCATAGTTGATAAATTAATTATTATTGCTGCAATTATTATAAAAAAATACCTTTGCGGGAAACTGGTGTCATAATAGATGACTGTTTTAACCCGCACTTCTTTGAGGTACTGCAAAAAACTTCTTCAATATTTTTAGGATTGCATCTCCCAACTAAGAACAAAAGATTCATTTATTAATTTTTTTTTGCAAATGGTATTAAAGTATTTAGAGTTATAATTACTTGGCCTTGTTCTTGGATGTTGCAGATTGTTCTTCTGATTCTGCCTCAGAACATTCTCTTGCAACCTGAGATCTTTAATTGAATTGCGCTCTATCTAAATGTTAATATTAAGAGCTAAAACTTTCAAAGAATCAAACTATCTATTTGGAACCATTTGAGCCCCTGGGAGCAAGGAAATTCGAAAAGGACCACCCTAATATATATAATAAATATAATATATATATAAATAAATTTATATAAATATATAATATATATATAAATATAAAGTTGTGTTAAAAATCTGAGGGTTGCTTTGTTCATATTTAACATTTGATATATATATATATATATATATATATATATATATATATAAATTTTCAATGAACTCTAACCTTTAATATTATTCTCAGGTGATAATATTGTCTTATTGCTACAAGCCTGAATGCTCCAGCTCGGATGAATTATTACAAGCAGTCGAGAAATTCTACTTATAATACAAAAGATACATGTCGAAGATGCTGCAAAGGTAAGATTGTTATTTTATCATATGCAATATACAAAATGGCACTCTCTGTTGGTATTTTAGTCTGTAAGAATAGAACTCTGAAATGAAATATACAAAATGCATACAAAATGGGCGTATACAAAAATAAATACGCCAAGCACTCTCGAGTGCACCTGTAGGAATTTTCAGATCTTGGGGATAATAGCTAGTATATAACTGAAATATAACAATGGCCATGCAATATGCAATATATATACGAAACAAACATTTCCAAAAAAATTTAGTAAGGCACTCTAGAGTGCACCTGTAGGGATTTTTAGGTCTTGGGGATAATAGCTAGTATATAACTGAAATATAACAATGGCCATGCAATATGCAATATGCAATATACAACATACAACATACATACGAAACGAACATTTTCAAAAAAAATTAGTAAGGCACTCTAGAGTGCACCTGTAGGGATTTTCAGGTCTTGGGGTTAATAGCTAGTATATAACTGAAATATAACAATGGCCATGCAATATGCAATATACAACATACATACGAAACAAGCATTTCCAAAAAAATTTAGTAAGGCACTCTAAAGTGCACCTGTAGGGATTTTCAGGTCTTGGGGATAATAGCTAGTATATAACTGAAATATAACAATGGCCATGCAATATGCAATATGCAATATACAACATACATACGAAACAACATTTCCAAAAAATTTAGTAAGGCACTCTAGAGTGCACCTGTAGGGATTTTCAGGTCTTGGGGTTAATAGCTAGTAATAACTGAA